CCCCCCCCCCCCCCCCCAAAAAAAGGCCTTGGCCGGTAGGTGCCCACTCTTGGGCCGGCCCTGTCACTACCTATTGGTGTTTGAATATAAAAAACTTCATTTGCCACAACCACAAATTTGAATTTTTGGTTGATATGGTTCCTTGATATGGTATCAGAGTCTTGTTGATTAAAAAGTCACAAGTTTGTGCAACGCAGTTTAAAAAAATAATTAATTTTCACATGAAAGGCTCGAGCAAAAAAACAAATCTTGCCTGCATGTAAGGGAACATGTTAGAATATAAAAACCTTCTTGGCCACAACCACAAGTTCGAGCTTTGCACGTGAAGCCTTAATTTTTTATAAAATTTAGGTGACACTGAGTTTTGAACTCGTGACCTCTTAGTCAACAAGGTTCGGATATCATGTCACGGAACCATATCAACCAAAAACTCTAACCTGTTCTTGACAATTGGTATAATATCCGAGGTGAGGTTTTGTGGGGAGTTGCTGAAGACTATGAGGCTCCGTTTGCTAAGCAGAATTCAAGCCATTGAATTAGAATTGAGAACTTCAATTTCAACTCTGTTGTTTGGTAGCACAAAAATATGCATATTTAAAATTGGAAGTGCAAAAAATGAATTAGAATTGGAGAATTCAATTCCGTAAAATTTTGATTCCAATTCCGTCAATTCCGTATACCAAACAGACGTTAAAAGAGTCTCCCTCATTAACTCAGAGGAAATCAAACATGTTTGCTAAGAGGAATGGAGGTTTAATTTTGGGTTAAATAACTCGTGTGTATGGAGTAGAGCTTTGATTATGAACCTCAATTGGTATTTAGGTAATAAGAAGATAATCTTTGGGTTTATTGAATTCATAGTATGTATATATATATATATTAAGAACTCACGAATTATCTTATATAATCTCTACTTAGATATAATCTTAATTTTTTTATCTATCTCAAAAAACTTTTCTTATTTTTATAAAAAAAAATGCTTTTATACATACTAATTCTTAAATTGCTATCCTTACAAATGTTTGACTGAATATATACCCGAGATTAAAACTTACAGTGGTAAAATAAAAAATACGGAGTAAAAAAAAGTTACGGAGGAGTTTCTTTTATACTTCCTCCGTCTCTGAAAACCTTTCTCCTTTCTTTTTTCATCCGTCCCAAAAAACACTTCTCATTTTTATTAAAAAGTCACTTTTACCTCTTATTTTTTCATACCTTATATATCACATCATATCTTTTTACTAATAATCTATCCATCAAATCATGCTTTTATCCATCACATCAAAGTACATTTTTGGAAATTCAATATCAAAAATACATTTCCCTTAAATCAAAATCAAAACTCCCATGTTTTTCGGGAGGGAGAGAGTATATAAAAGCAAGCCCCAAGTTCACTAAATCCTTGCTACGATTATTACAGCATTAACAATGGAGGCTTCATTATCATTATTATTCATCGACTACTTCCATTCTTGTGCTGCCCTCTTCCTCTCTTTTCTCATTTTAACCCTAACCCTAATCTACCAACAGTGGAATAAGAAGAAAGAGGACGAAGAAACCGCCGGCAAGCAACTGCCGCCGGGGCCGCGGAGGATACCGGTGATCGGGAACTTGCATCAAGTGGGGATGTCACTCATCTCCATGCCAGCTCACCGCGTCCTGGTCGAGCTGGCAAAGAAACACCCCTCCTATCCCCCGGGGCTCACGCGCCTCCAGGTCGGGGAAATCCCCCTGGCGGTCGTCTCGTCGCCGGAAATGGCGAGAGAGTTCCTCAGGACTCACGACTCCGCCTTCGCCACCAGGCCGGAGTACGTGAGCGGGAACACCATCTTTTACGGGCGTTCCGACGTCGGGTTTTGCCCGTACGGCGATTACTGGAGACAGATGAAGAGATTGTGCATCACGGCGCTTCGCCTCGACACCGATGCGATACGCTCTGTACGGCGCGACGAGCTCCGTCGTCTTCTGTCTGACGTCCGTTCATCTTCCGGCCAGCCGCTTAATCTCTCCGACAGAATCTATTTACTTACCACCTCCATTCTATGCAGATCGGCACTAGGTAATTAAGTAATAATACCCATTTCTAAATCTTTTTATCACTTTTTCAGAATATTTGTGCTTTAAAATTAGTGCTGAATTTTATTTTTAATAATCACTTTTATAACAAATTAAATACTCCAGTATTGGAATAGAAATTTATACTCGGAGTATTAAATTTAAAAATATCACATAACTAAAAAAATGAATATTTAACAATATAGGGCCCAAAAAATGAGGGCCATGTAGGACTGGACACTATTTACACCTTTTGGGCCACCCATGACATTAATCACATACACACAAGGACCATGCTACATTTACACCAAAAAAATGTACCCCATTTGTACACCGCAGTTATACACAAACATTTTGATGGTTTACACTGATACAAATGTTGGTGTGTTAAAAAAAAATTACACAAATACAAAGTGTTAGTGCGTTAACAAAAATTAATTTTACACCAACACAAAATGTTGGTGTGAAACTGCGGGGTACAAAAAGTTGGGGTACAAGTAGCTTTATCCTACACACAAAGATACATTGAACATCTCTGCATATGTAGGTATTGGTTGTCTTTTTGTGTCTATTATTTTCTCTATTTTAATTTAAATCGTCTGTTTTGGTTTACGATATTTGACTGAACTTATTTTCAAATTATTTTATATAAAAAATTACGCACAATCAAAAATTTAAGAAAAGTTAAAAAAACCAAAAAAATGTCAACTTTATGCTTAATGATAGTGGGTGGGTGTAGTAAATGATGAGAGAAATAACTTTGGCATTTTTTAACATGTTACTCCCTCAACTCCATAAGAGAGATATTCATGTATTGTCTTTTCAAAAAATGTCTTTATGACGTGATAAATATATTATTAGTAAAAAGATATCTTAATTAGTAGGTGGACTGTATTCAGATGATTACTCCCCTCTCCACATGGAATCAGTACGTACATACCATCTTCATCACTGGTAGTTAGCTTACCATTTCCAGAGAAGCTTGGCCTATATATGTTAGTTACACGTATTCTTCAAATCGGTGTGCCGCTTCCCGTCCCCGAAACGTCTCCATTCAAGTACTTGAGGCGTCCCCACACCCAAATTCTTTATAAATTATGGAAAAAAAATTGACGTTTCACGCTTCCGGTCCCGTCCCCGTATAAGTCACTGTATCGGTGCAACTTAGACTGCTTGGCACCGGCTACAGAGCAAGAAAGCATATCCATCAATCACAACCTCGCCATCTTCCTTAGAAATAAAGCACTCCAACAAACTCACTACTTTTAACAAATACTCATCTCCTTGCATTCCTAAAAACCTTTTCTATTTTGATATTTTTTTGGTCAAACAGTGATACTCTTTGATTACGAATTAAACATAACCTAAACATGTAAATGATATAGAAATTTGATATGTCAAAACTATATACTAAGATCAACCCAGTTAAATTTGATTTATATTACGG